CAAAGTTCAGAAGTGCTCTGAAGACAAATAATTAGAAATTCTAGCATGCATAAGGAAACAATTTATTGTATTAAATTTAGTCTAATGTAGAGTCCTACTCAAAGGGAAATGAGGGCAGAAAAAAGAAAAATGGTGCAGTAAACCTGGAAAAAGCTTAGGATTTGATATGTGTTCTCTTCTTGCGCTGTGGTTTTGTTGCAAGCTTGTATTTTGGTGACAGAAGTTGTTGTAGGAATGACCAAAGCATTACATCGTGGAAATGGCAGCTAGAACAGTGAGCCAGGAAAGTATCTACTGGCAAATCCCATTGCAGGCATCGTATTGAGATGTGGCTGGAACAGAACAGCTTGCAAGGAAGGGAGGAGAGTGCTCAAGTGTTAGGACAGTTAAGGCTTTCTGCCTTTCTAACTTGATAAGCTGGTAGTTAGGGTGAAATTGGCATCTGATTTTTCATTCGTTCTTTTGTTTGGGTGTTTTGGTTGCTTTTTTTGTAACTAATGTGGGTATGAAAAGACTAATTTCTGTCCCATCAGAGCCAGGGTGTTGAGTTTCAGCTGGTAATAAGATCCTTCAGAGAATGAGTGGTCTATTTAATTTTATAAGCAACCTTCTGTACTGACTGTTACTTCTTGCATAGTTGTATTCTCATTCTTCATGCTTTTAAATGTACTCCTTTATAATAGTACAATCCATTCATTTAAGCACAAAATATTTATCCAGAAGCCAGTCACTGCAAGTTTAAATGTACCTTTGGATCTCTTGAACAGGGAGGTGCTTTCACTACTTTGTTATGGTACTCTCATTACATCCTGCTTATATTGCAGGGGGTCGATTAGAAGACTTGAAGCTTTTAGTTTCTTTTGTGGTGCATCTCTACCAGGTAAACCCAGCCTTAAGGACAATTTAAAAAGGAAATTTGCCTGTGTATACTATTAAATGCTTCCTTAAAACATTTACCTAGTTTTCTATTTTCAGTTTAACAGCTCTGTAATGGTGTTGGCATTGCAGATACTGCAGTGTTGTCCTGGTGCAGGGAAGCACTAGTTCTTCTGTGTACTTCGCAGCTGGTGAAATGCTGGAACTGTGTATACGAACAAGCTTAATTTTGATACTGCTTTGATAATTTTTTTAATGTTCTCTATACTGTATTCATGTTCCTTTGTTTTGTTCTGTCTTCTCAAATTAATTTTTGTAGGTTGTCCTTTAAAAGGGGTGTGAAAAAAGCAAATCATAAAAAAAAAAAAAGAGTTGATTGCTGGTAGGGAATCTGGCATGCAACCTTCCAGGTTAATCTTGTGGTATAAAAGTTATGCAGCTCTGACAGATCTTACAAAGCTTAGCTACAGCTTAATTTACTATCTTATTGCTAACATGTAATGCTAATTGAGTTACAACACAATGTGTGGTCATCTGAACCTAAAACTTGCTATTAGTTTAAATGTGAAAAGCATATTTAGAGTTAGTCAGTCAGCTGCTTTCTGTGTACCTCTGTGATTGGAGAATTAAATCACCATAATCTGTGTCTTTGTTTGCCTTTTTTTTTTTGTCTGTCTTGTCTCTTGTAGGTATCCATACACTAAGGCACAAAGGGTCTATAGGGTAGTACATGCATGTGAGAGAGTATAGCTGAAGAATTACTGAGGTTGGAGAAGAGACCTTCTCAAGCAGTTCAGCGCTTGCACTGGTCTTTGATTTTGCGGCACAAAACTTGCAGTTTATATAGTACCGCTCCTGACTAGTTTACAATGTGAGGCACAGTATCCAGGGTGTGTTTAAATGTAAGTGGGCTGTCATGTGAAATATGGTGAGCCACAGCATTACACCAAGGAAAACGTGGCAAGGGGGTGGGTTGCTTAGTATGTTTGGTTGCTTTGAAATCAGAGATCCTTCAGTAGTTTGTCACCAGGACAAAAGATGGGGGAAGGATTCCTGTGGAAGAGTTAGAGACAAGTACTTTAAGGTTTTGGTGGTATCTACATAAAAGTCCTGTGACTTCCAGACACTAGTGCAGACAGTCGCTGCTTGTGGCATGCCACCTTCTTTGGGAACTATGCTTGGCACAAATCCATTTGTGTACGAATCTGTCTGGTCCCTAGAGAGAGGTAAAAGGTACTGCAGAAACTAGCATGAAGATCCAGATCAGCTGGGATTCACTGGGGTGTCTAAGCAGGATCGCAGACAGGAAAGGAAGTTTCTCTTCCTCTTTTAACAAATACACTCTAACCATATCTGACATATTTTTTTGATGTGTCTATTGGCTTAAAGTGTCCCAAGCTGCTTGCAACTGCCCTGTGCCACTTCATTCTTGTCTGTTGTACTGGCTCAATTGTTTGTGCAGCTGTGCAGTAAAATGGTTCTGCTGGAGCGGGGAAGACTATATATTTATAATTTGTATATATATTTATAAATTTGTTTAAGCAGCAGACTGTTTTTCAGCTGGATCAATTACCTTATTCATGACATGGCCTTCCATGCAGCTCTGCCAGCATGTGGGGAGCCAAGGCCCTGGGAGGATGAGCACAGCCTCCAAACACCTGGACTTGTAGTGGTTGCAGAGAAGAGGAAGCTGGTCTGAAATGGAAATGAGAGCATGTCAGAACCCCTTGCTGCTTATTCACACTTCTGAGATTATTACTGTGCATGTCCCTCCACAGAGGAAAGTTATGTGGCCTTTGGAATTGCTCTTGGATTTTCTAACCTGGGAGGGAATGCTGGGCTAATTAGCTAACTCAATTGAAGTATGTTGTGTAATGTATCGTAGTATACAGTGGTTGTGGTTGCATTAAGAGTATTTTAATATATTTCCCCCCCCTGTGGTTAGCCTCATGAACATTTAAAATCTGTTGTCAAGCAATTACATTGGCATCTCAAATCAGGCTGCCCTGTCCATCATGTAGGAGACTTGTTTTTTACTAGTTCTGAAGAGAGTGGGGTAAATTACTGCATGTTAACTGTGCAGTACTGAAGGGTGAATATTTGCACCTGGGCAATTACTGCAGGGCTATTGGCATGTGGCAGTGCCATCTTGGGATGATTTAGCCCTGTTTCAAAGCTCCTGAAAGGGAAGCAGGTTTAAAAAGCCTGATTGTGGAGTGTCAGCTTCATTTAGTTTCTGGTGGTGTTTTTTAGCCTGGCTTCCAATGGAAATGAATCATGCCATCTTTCTGTCCCTACCCCTGAAAAAATTGGGCCTCGCCGCCACTGTGAAAAAAAAAGATTATAAAATTGGAGAGACCTTCCTTATGAATAGGTGCTCAGGTCAGGAAAGATGCCATTCGAGTTCCCCCTCCCCAGGGAAAGGGTGCCGTGCAAGTTTATTAGACTTGAGAAAATTCATGTGAAACAGGTGTTATAAATTCGTGGGCTACAGAAAAGCTATCTCCAGAACCTGCACCGTATCATGAGCTGAAGAGGGAACCTGTAGGAAGCAAGACTTCGTTATTGAAGAGGGAAGCTGTAGGAAACAAGACTTCGTTATTGACAGTCATCATGGAACTATTTAGTTTTGTTGTACAAACTACGGCTTTTGATGCTCCCTGCATCGCAGCGTCAAGCTGTAGCGACTCTTAAGTAACTGAAAGGCTTTTAGGAATGCAAACCTGAAACGATCCTGTAGGTGGCTGGTGAGGCTGCAGTAGCATAGGGAACAGCCAGGCTCCATTTTGGATGCCTGACTGTTGCTATTCTGAGTTGCTCTGTGCTGCGCAGTGCTGCTTAACTGCCTGCTGTTTTCTAGCTACTTCGATGATTTTTAAACCAGCTGCTGTCGTGGCATGCTTCCTTTCTGTCAGGAGAGCGCACAGTAACAAAGCCATGTTTTATTCTCTGGTGGGGGGTGTCCTTCTCTAAGTATGTTAGAGTCCAGTGCCAGGAGAAGGCAGTGGTCAACTGCTGCACACTAGCCGTTTTTTTTATTCTGCTCCAAACCATAACTGTGTAACAGACATTCCATATCAAGATCTGTGGGTGAGGTTTGGGTTAGGGTTGCAATGGAAAGGCAAAGGGAAAGATAGCTAGCCTGCTCCTTTACTGATTGAAAAACAAAACAGCAAGCAAATTGTCTTCTCTGCTGCCTGCTAAATGCCTTTTTGAAACACATGCCGTTGCTGTAGTTCTCCTCTAACTGCTGCTGCTCGCTGTTTTTCCATGAATCGTTTGCTCTTAGGTGAGAACCCAGTCATTTGCAAAACATGAAGTAATATATCTTGAGTTGTGTAAAAACAACAAAACCAAAAATCCCCAAATAACCCCAACAAGCAAACCCCCAAAAACAACAGCTCACGAACTTGATTTTACACACACATACCTGTGGTTTAACTAACATTTCTGTAGTACCTCTGAAAAGCTATCTTTGAAATAGTAGGGTTGATACTTTGTTCTTGAGAAGAAATATGTTTGTCCCTAGCTTTCCTGTCGGTGTCTTGGTGTTTTACTGATTTTTGCTGTTCTGATGGAGGAGATGAGATGAAGGAAAGATACCATTAAAGCTTTCAGCTGAGTGAACCTGAGGCGCAAATTGAGTAAATGAGGTAAAAAAACTCACTTATTTCAGTAATGCTGTGCTTTTTTGGTTCATCATATCTCATTACTACTTAGGTTCATGTTTGAGAAGAAACATGTTAAATTTCTCAGAGATTTCAAAAGCCCTATAGAACAAACCTCAGATTTCCAGTTCATACTTTTGTGCTGCCGACTGCTGATGAGATGTAGCTCCCACTGGAACCTGCAGATGCTTTAGTTAATTGGCAAGAGGGACCACTGAGGGATGATCTGTGATATGATATGATACGTATGTACATGGTGATGATCAGTCCTTGTGTTCTTGTTGGAAAATCTAGAATGACTTTGGTACAGTGTTTCTTGTAAATACTAATGTAAATTTGCCAGACTTCAAGTTACTGAAATGTATGAAAAGAAGACTTCACCATAATCTTTGTTTTGCTGTTGCATGGTTGCTTTTAAGTCTGTAATAAAACCACTGACTTAATATTTTCTTTCAGTCTCCAGAGGGTGCTGAAGGCAAGGATGCAGCAAAAGTAACTAAACAAGAGGCAAGTATTCTTTATTATTTTATTTTTTTAAATGCATTTTGGCATGTAGTTAAGTGGAGATCTGCAGTCTTGCCCCACTGTTTTCAGAGGGAATAATGACAGTAAACCGCATTTGTAGCTTATCTAGCATAAATTGTTTTTGGTGTACTGAGATTCATGCAGGTTATTAATGCATAAAATAAATTTAAGAAACACTTAGGGCTTTGATAGACAAACTCTGCTGGATCCTGTGGCAACAGTGTAAGGTGTTACTGCGTGCAACTGTTGCTCTATCTCTAGCAGGTTGGCAGAAGAAGGTTAATGCGCGCACCTAAGCCCGTCTGCTTCAAAACTATTCTTAGCTTAAGTGACTGGTGGAAGGGTGTCTTGAATTAAGATACCAGGCTCTAAACTGGAGCAGCTGACACGTTTGTGTGTTTTCTTTGTCTGAATTTATTTTAAGGGCACAGTAACTTATGTCACAGAAGGGAAGGAGACAGCTAGTGATACCTTGACCTCTGCAGTAAAGTTTGGTAGTTTGTCAGAGCTCTTAATACAAATTTAAAAAACAGGTAGGGAATTATGAGGATTTCATTTTCTTAGGCTGTTATCTTTTGTGCCAGATGAAGTTAAATCAGAACCTTGAAAGAATAGGTGAATATTCAAATGGATTAATAATTAATTACTCTTCTTCTAAATCTTTGAGCATATTTGAACAGGGAAAAGTAGTCTAATGAAGTTTTACACTTCCTGAATTGAGAAGTTGGTTGTTGCTCAGTCTGGCAGAGAAAGATGGTACAGTGGAAATGTCAAAATATTTCAAACAATAGTAAAGTTTTCAATAAGCTCCAGGAAAAAAAACAGAGTAAAAAGGAGGTCTAAGAGGAATAGATTCTGATATCTCAGTGTCTTCCTATGGAACTTTCTAGAAGACAAATCAGTTTCTTTTCCATAAAATATGAAAAGGCTGACTAAATCATAGTAAAGTTATAATCTCCTTTGCTCTGAATGAATGTTTTTTTCTGCCCAACTTCAAGAGCCAGAAAAGTTCCTTCTCGTAAAAATTTGAGATCTGATTGCTAGCGTAAGGAAGGAAGACCAAGAATCTTACAGAAATAGGCTCTCTGGAGAGGGCCTGCTGAATGAAGTACCAGAGCTCTTAGTCTTCATTCAAGGTGAGGTGCTACTGGGGGAGGGAGGGAAACCCGACAACAAAGTAAAATAGTCTCAGTAGATACACCTATAGCTCTTAGTGTGTGAATGAGGAAAATAGTTGTAGGATTAGATTAGAAACTGGTTGCTCTTGGAATAGATAGAATATAAACAGAAAGCGTGGCTTCAGTCTGGACAAAATCAGACCTCTGTGGATGGCACTGAGGAGATTTTTGAATTATTTTGAACTAAACATCTGAGGGGAGACCGGCATGTTCTTGAGAGTGCCTAGGGTGAAGTCAGAGCTCCCTGTTGTCGTGGAGAGCAGAGGCAAGCACAGAAGCCATAGAAGTCTGCATCTGAAAATGTAAAGAGCAGCCTTGAGAAATAGTCATGTTTAATTCGCATCTATGAAAACAGGCAGTTGAGCCAAAATACAAAAGCTGCAAATCTAAGTCTGGGCAATTCAGAATGTCTGGCTTTAAATGAGGACATTGATAAAATGAGTAACTCAGAAATTTGTGGGGCCGCTGTGACACCAAAGCACAAATTACACAGGGTTGAGAGCTAAGTTGCATTAGTGGTAGAATGGCTTTCTATTATGTGTCTTTAATATTTCTCTAGATTAACTGTATTAATAACTACAGCAGAATCCTTTATGGATTGCGAAGCCATGTATAAATGGGAAGTATGCAGTGTAGAAATTGTGCCAGATGTCATCTGACCACAGTAATTAAAATGGCAGTGGGATGTTAAGGGAGATCAGAGGGGCTCCAAGGACATTGTTAATGGACATTCTGGTTCCCTTTCAGGCATTTCGTAAAAGGGATAGGATTGCTTTAGAAAGACAAAGAAGTTAGAACTGTACCTGCCTCCTCTCTGGAGGAACAAATCATAGGACCAGTAAAAAAAATAATCAGCTGTATGTGGTTCTACGTAGTATGGAGGAGCTAGTTAAAAAGACAGTTGTTGGAGAACTATTCTGTAATTGTGGCCATAATAGATTCAGGTTCGTCATCCTTGCAAGAATGTAAGTCCAGATAAACTCTGCTGTGGTCAGATGTGATATCAAGAAAGGGATTTAAAAAAAATAAATAAAGCCTATTAAAAGGAGAAGCAAAAAAGTTTAATGGTTTCAGGTGGCAGAGAGGCTCTGTGGTATGCCTTGCTAAAGGCTTGCAGAAACGCATATAGTTTTTCAAAAGCCCCCACTACCCTTCTGCCCCCCCCCCCCCCCCAACAACCAAACAGAAAAACCCAGAATGACTTAACAGCAAAATTGGGGAAATGTATTGGCTTTGAAAGGTGGTGTTGTGTTGATGGAAAATAATGAGAAAAGGAGCAAACCCTACAGCACGGTGAATGTGAAGCTGAAAAACAGTAAAGAAACTCCTGCTGTGGAAAATTCTTAGGGAGGTTCTCGCAGCAGAGCCGTTTCTCATGGGTGTAGAGTCTGGAGGACGTTCTTTAATGGAGTGTGAGCGAGAACCAGACAGTATTCCCCAGCATTTGCCAAACTGCTTGCTTTGGCCTCAGCACCAGAGTAACTGAAGGTGATGAAATGCTCCCAGGACTTTACATAAGGGATTCTGGAAAATAAAGCCTGGAGTCGTAACTTGCAAAAGTAGGGGAGGGTTTGTTTGTTTTGTTGTTTGTTTGTGGGGTTTTTTGGTTGGTTGGGTGGGGTTTTTTAAGTGTATATGGATAAATGTGTAATGAGGGAGTTGACAGATTTTGCAGAGAAGTCATTTTTCAGGCATTTTATTTCTTTGTAGAAGTCAACAGGTCTGAGGATGGCAGCATACCAATTGATAGTTTACTTGCATGAAAGAACACTTTTTGATGAGGCTCCCGAAACGGGTTCTTAAAGAAGCTGAACTAGCATGGATTAAATGGATGATCTTCCTAGGAACTGGTAACAAATACACATGTGAGAAAAGAGTGGAGAAGTAGCTAATTTTTATAATGGAGGAGACTTACCAGTGGACTATTGGACAGATTTGTGTTTGGGCTTGTGCTACTGAATGTGTTCATTAGTGATCTAGGAGAAGAGGGACAGAAGTTTTCTCTGCAGTTTGCTCCTCTCTTTCTGACTAGTCAGAAGCCAGAGATAGAGAAGGCTGTTACATCACTGATAACTAGGAGATAAAACGTCAATTGAAAGTGATTATGGAGAAATGCAAATGAATACACAGGGGGAGTGATGGTCACCAAATTGGCTGTTCATCAGGGGAGAGATTGTGAAATCAGTGATTACTAGAAGACATTGGTTCTTCTAAACAAAAGGTAACTAGAATATAGGGAAAAATACTAGAGGACAGAGTGTGAATTAATCAGTGTATCACAAGATTAGTGTGTTGTGTTCCCAGATGTGGGATTAGTAAATGTTCTCCTGACTCTTCCTTATAAGGGTCCTGATAGAATTAAAAGGATACTAAGTATATTGGGACAAAGGATGCAGAGCAGGTTGTGGGAGGGAAAGGGAGAGGGCCCAAAACAAACCAAAGCAAACAGAAAACCACCAGAAACCGAAATGGAAACAAACAAACAATAACCCCAAACAAATAAACAAAAAAGCCCAAAGAAAACAAACCACCCAGATTTTCTAGGATTCTTGACTGTCTTGATTTTTCATATAACAGAGGCATGATAAAATCATCAGTAACACAGAGCAAGGCAGTTAGGAAATTCTTACTCATGAAACTGAGAACAAGAGGAACCTTGTAAAAGGTGAGAAGTTTAAAGGAAAGACAACAGAGGGGGAAGGTTTTCCTTTTTCTCTTTTCCGCACAGTGCATAATCCTATTAATGGAACTCGCTGCCACAGGATGTTCTGGAAACTGAAAGTATAAATGGGTTCACTAGGTTATTAGACAAATTTATGGAGAAAATGACCCTCAGGGACTAATATCCACATCATGTGTTTATAATACCCAGGTTGGAAAGTTCACAGCTTTAGATTGCCAGAACCTAGGGCAGTAGGGAAGTGTGCAGCGTTGTTCTGTGTCTGCTCCATTTCATAGCTTTTCCGTAGAAGTTTCCTAGTGGGCCAGTGTCAAACTAACTGTTGGGGCGAGCTGCTAGTTTCTGGGTTAGTACAGTTGCTTGAAGGGGGACAAAAGGACATCAAAATGTGACTTTTGCTGACCTGACTGTACTTCCCTCCTTAGATAACACAAAATACTTACACTCTCTGAATCAGAATTAAAATCATTTGGCCGCTGTGCATTTCTAAAGAACTGGGGGTTTATGCTGCCTTTCTTACGGCAATACAGGCCTTCTATGAAACCAGTCATGGAACAAGAACAGTTTGGGAATGTGGGAGAGAATGAAAATTTATCTAAAACAACATATTATCCTGTAAAACAAATAGTTGTTAACAAAATATTCTAGTGCCCAAATGCACTGGAACCAGTTAAGAAAACAGTTTTGTAAAAGAAGGTACCTTGAGCTGGGAGTTCTTTGATTACCTGACCAAGTGAAATGCTTTATTTAACCTCCTGTAGAATAATGCCAGGCATCAGCATTATTTTACAGCATAAATGTTTGATAGCTGAAAATATCTTCAGGTGTTTTTTACAAGACTTCTATTTTAATGAATGCAGGTCTGAGCTATTCACTGCTTTCCACTAAGAATACTTAAATGGCTTCAATGAATACAAATTACTGCATTCTTCAGATATTAACAGCAGCTTTTTCATGTTGCAGGATGTGTGGAGCCATGTTTTCTTAGCTCAATTTAAATGCGTAATATGTAATTAAGAAGATACATTTGATTCACCTTTTAAGCTGTGTTACATTGGATATTTGTCCCAGTTGAGTTGTCCATTTATTTTGGCAGGTTTGTGATGCAGACCAAACTTTAACTGCTTGATAACCATGCTTTGTGACTGGATCATGTGTTCATCTGTTTTAATGAATACAGAAATACCGTGAACAAACTAGTGAGCTTACAACTATTTCTAAGACTTCAGTAATAAATTTATGGAAAAGAACAGATAAATAAAATTGAATAAGGAAGTGTGTTGAGGTGATAAAGAAAGGTGGGAGAAATCAGAGTATCTTTTTTCTTTCCTTTTGAGAATTGGTTAAATAGAAGAAATAATTTCTCCCCCTTGCCCTGCATCTGTCTTTGTGCAGCTGGACTCTCAGATTGAGTGTGTGGTGAACTGAGGAAGTGGAAGGACTTACCTTCATGTTTTGAAATTTTAGCACTCTGATGTCCTCTATGGAAGGATGTTAACTTCATTCTCTTGTTGATCAGATGGCATTTTTTGCCCACTATTACAAGTAGCATCTGCTAGGTTATAGAAACATCATTCTGAGTCTTTATGAGAAAGGATCGGTGTCCTGTGTGATAGTCAAGCTTGGAGCAGCAAGGGACTTGGAAAATGGGGAGGTATTAAACCATATGGAGATTTAGATGTTATAATATCTGAACAGCTTTTACTGCTGATTTTCACATGACTCTCTCCGTAAAATTTTGTTCAAGGTGAGGAAAAAATGAATTGTGTTTGTCAATAGAGTTGTATATTGGTAGGGGCATATTTTATGCTGCCACCGTGAAATGACTGGTATTATATTGCTTTGGATACTGTTTGCTATAAGCCTATAAAAATGTTTTCTCCTTTTTTTTCTTTTCTTTTTCTGTAGCCCACAAGACGATCAGCAAGATTGTCAGCTGTAAGTATGTATAACACCTCCTGGTATATACTTTTCTAGGCACATATGGTTTCTCAGACCAAACAGGTTTGTTATATTTGGCTTGATTCACTTTTTATACTTGCTGAGGGATATTAAAGAACTCTAGAGCTGAAGTTAACTGTGCTTTCTTGGTTTCAGTTTTTCAGGTTTCAGCTTTTTCTGACAAAAGATGCATTTCCCCACCTGACCGCAACGCTGTTATGTGCAGTATTGACCTCGTATTATTTTGCAGGCTGATGTTAGTTGTGGAAAAGCAACTACTTCTCCAGGAAGGAGAAGGAGCAGTCCTTCAAGGACCATTTGATGCCACTGCTAGTATTTGGTTTTAGTTCCTCTTTGTTAGAACATACCTGATTTTATTACTTTTAACAGTAACTGCTTATCTCCATGTTTACTCTTAGAGTGACCCCAAATTGCTTTGCTGGATGGATGAGTGAGCTCATGAGAATGGGTGTGTACGGTGATGAGGTGCCTTTGTGCATTAAGGTTTCTGAGTCTGTTTCTAGATGCAGACTAATGAGCAGGAAGTCAGGGAAGGTGTGTGGTGGGGGAGGCTGGGGTGTGGAGGTGGTTAGCTGGCTTTTGATAATATGTCTAACACGTTGTGCAACTAAAAATGTTTTATAGAAACCTGCTCCGCCAAAACCTGAACCCAAACCAAGGAAAACCACCAAGGTAAATACTTTCCTTTTTGATGCCATCATTGTAGCCAATGGTAAACAAGTGTGCTCCTGCTTTGTTCTGCAGAGATTTCAGTTCAGAGCATTTTTGTGAGGCATTGGCTCCCCTGCCCTCCCCGCAGCTCCCTGTTCCCCCCACCCCCCAGGAAAAGAAACAGATCATTCTTTTCTTTCTGTTCCACCCCTTCCTGGCCTCATTACTGGCCCAAACAAAATGTCTTGCCTGTTTGATATGCAGACCATGTTAGTTTGTAGTGAGTTCCATAGTTTAAGAAGAACCTTTACCTTTCCTACACCTTTCCTGGGATGTACAGGTTTGGTGAGTAAGCTGTCCCTGAGGCCTACCAATTTCTACAGTGGGATTTGGGATTATTCAATGCCATCCTGTTTCCTTGTCTTGAGGGGCAGTACTTCATTTCACAGTGAGAAACTCTTATCTGTTCTTGAAGCCTGGCCGTTGCTGAGAATGCACAATTATAATTAAAGGTGAAATTAAATGTATTTAAATTGAATGGTTTGTTTTTTCTAGGCCAGTTACAGTCAAGTTGAAATCTTATTAGTGTCTGAAATACCTTTTCAGGATTCCTGCATACAGATCATGTACTTCAGAAACTGTAGGTTTATTTGTGCCCAAGGGGAATGTTAAATAAGAGCAATTGTTTTGTCAAGAAAAAAAAAAAAAGAAAAGCTGGAAACTGAATCTAACACTCCTCACACTTAAATTTTTTAAATCCTTTTATGGGTATTTCAGTGTGGCAAGTATCAGGATACAGAGTCTGCATGTGAAAGCAAAACTCTGTGACTTCAAGCACTTTATGATTTATGAAATTAAATTACTCATAAAGTCTTGCTGAGTCCATCTTGCTCCCTCTTAAAAGGGGTATTAATAAAGAAGGGAATATGGGAGCTTCTGTAACTTCATGTATGCACTGTAAAATGAGCTCTGTGTTAAGGAGTCAGCCTAAGCTGCATGAAAGGCATTTGAAGCTCAATTCAGGTGATTCAAATCCATTACAATGTTATTCTTGGTAGCTTTTTAATACAGTAATCTGTTGGGGTTGTTTTTCCAAACTAACTGAATTTAAGGAGTAAATTTTGAGGAGTATATTCATCTCCGCCTCCTAAACAGAAAACAGCAAGTGTGTACTTTGAACCTGCTCGTAAACAACTGGACCTGGGTATGGATTTGAGATAATTTTTGTTGTTAAAAGTTTGCAAATTACGGGTTTTCTAAGTCAGTTCGTTAGCTTATAGTTTTGTAGGTGAAGAGTCAGGACTCTCATCACCAATAAGCTTCTCAATTAAGCATCATAGCTGCTGTGTAATTTTGAAGGGTGAAAGGAGTCATTCAGGCTGCTCTGGGATTAGGATTACTGGCACTCCCTGTTTACTGCCCCACTCCTGTACGGGGATCATTGGGGAGAGGTGGTTAATGAAAGGAGGCTGGCCTTAATATCCCTGTTCACAGCTACTATTTCCATTTTGCATGGAGAATTTGGAGCAAATGATCACGTAGAAGATCTCTACAGTGTTTACCAAAGCTACTTTAAATACTAATGTAAAATTTTCAATTAAATAACGTCTTTATCCCGTGGTACTTAAAATTCGTAACATATGTCTCTACTAGCGTTAGATCACAAATATAAATATGTACATAGAGAAGCATAAAAAAAAGGCAGACTTCAACATACAAATCATTTAAGAGCAGATCTCCAAATGAAACTGTAGCTGTTAAAATAGCCTCTTTTGATAAATTCTCTGCTTTGTATTGCTGCAGATGGAATTGTATCAGTGTTTGCCTCCCTAGTGTGTTGGTTGGTTCTTTCACTGACACAGAATGAACATCACAGATGTTATCAAACTAACGAAAGAACAGCCAACAAAAATGCTTAATTTTTTAAATCTAATTTAATATTTCATGCTAAAATGTAGTGCTATTACACCAAGTGTGGTGTTTGTGCTTGGCTGAATAAGCTTTCAATATACTGTAATTGTATTTGTTCATGCAGATATATTGTATATACTTCCCTGTAATACAGCTCAGCTCTACCAAAATGGTCTGAGGAGTTTTTGTATCCCAATAAAGAAGCAGACACCAGCATTTTCCAGAAATTTTGAGAGTCTCTGTGTAACTTTTTTTGATATACATTTTCCAGGTAGTCTTTGACTGGTTTTCTGTTTCAGTCCAGCATATGCAGCTTGCCAAGATTTGCTTTTTTAGTTCATATGAAGGTGTTTTTTTTTCCTAAAGATGTAGGGTGCTGGCTACTCATACAATGTCTATGCCCGTGTTTTTAATCTCCTGTCAGAAGGAACCTGGAACAAAGGCCAGCAAAGGTGCTAAAGGGAAGAAGGATGAAAAGCAAGAAGCTGCAAAGGAAGGTACTACACCATCTGAAAATGGTGAAAATAAAGCTGAAGAGGTACTTTACACACATACCTCCTGCTGATTGAATCAGTGTTTTTTGATTCAGCCTTTCAGACATTGATAGCATGTTCATAATGCTTCTTTTTATTGCCCATAATGTTATTGCAGATTCGCATCTCTCGCTCAACTGTTAGTGTTTGAACATCCAGAGGTGCCCTACCCAGCACACTGTCAGTAAAAGGGCAGATTGAAACAGTGAAAGTTGAGGGTACGGTAGAGCATTCAGCATGTGTGCAGTGCATAGAAACAGATAGTAGTGTGGTGCTTTTCAGTATGAACAATGGAAGCTGACAGGTAAGGCTTGTATTACTCTTGAAAAGGTGGGACCAATAATTCAAGAAAAGTGTGTGAATGTACCTGTTCTGATTGTGTAAATGTGAGGTGGACATAGGTTTGAAACTGAGATGTTGCAAATAAGAAATGGAAGGAGCAAGGGTAGTTCGGGTATTTAGGCATGCAATGGGCAGTTCACTATAGTAATTCGGTTCTTTCTTTCTTCTCTACAGGCTCAGAAAACTGAATCTGTAGGTGACAAGAATGAATGAAATATCATGAAAATTTTGGGTTGATTTTATGTACCTCTTGGACAACTTTTAAAAAATATTTTTATCAAGTATTTTGTAAATGCTAATTTTTTTAGGACTATGATAGTTGACATATTAAACTGTATATGAACATTTCCCTTCTCATAACAGTGCTTTTAGAAATTCCCATTGTTGCCAAGTAATATAAATATCAACTTAATATTGCAAGGTATGTGTAAAATTGGATCAGCATTCCATACACTTGCTTTAAGAAATTAAGTCTTGTGCATATGGTGATGTTTTTACTGTGCGTATTTGAATTTTTCATGCAGTTTTTCTAGAGCAATAATCAGTGGTGCTTTTGTACTTAGGGTTTATGTGATTTTAATGAAACATGGATAGATGTGGCCACCTGCTGACTATCTTGGGTTCTTTTAATGGATTAAAATAAAAGGTCTTCTTGCCTGCAAAACTACAGCCTCCTAATGTTTTCTCTACATCTGAGGAATGCGTTACTCGTATTTCAGCTGTTACAAGGAAGACGAAAGGATTTGGCAACAGTTGTTTTGCATGCAGTCTGTTTGCTTTTATGCTGATGTCTGATAACGAGAAATACCCACACAGGAGTAGCAGGCTGGGATTTTCAGTGGCCCACAACTTAAGGGACTTATAGATAACATTCTTCATAGATACATTCTTCAGATACACTGTCACAGGGTGAGTAGAATTGTCATATTCTATCAGGTTATTGTGTCCACAGTGAGCTATCAATACGGAATGAATTGCTTGATTGATAGAGACATACAGTAACATAAAAGTAGCTTTGTTTCTCCCCTGCTCTCTCTTCATTAACTTGCATTGTATTCTGTAGAAACCTTTCTATCTGCAGCCTCAAATTTAATATAAATAGCAATTGCTGTTCTGCTTCAGCTGAGGACAGTTGTTAATACATTGAAATTGCTGTTAAACAGCGCTATATCTTTGGTACCTAGTAGAAACAGAGCAATGAAAGTTATTTTTGAGGCGATTGTGGTTATATGGTGGATTAGCTAATGATTTTTCAGTGTCCATGTTTCAACTCCGCAGCTCATTCTAAGCGCCTATTATGATTTTTCGCCTTCTCTCTTCTCTAGGGGCCCTGGTATTTCTATTGTTACTCCTGGGATGGGAGGGGTGAGAGAAAAGATGTTCCTCAATAGCATTGATCTGTATTGCTCAAGTGTTGGCCGTCATGTCTGAGGATACCTTTTGCTTGTTAAAGTCAATAAATAAATGACTGTTGCCTGACCTAGTGTTCCATTTATTCTTTGGAAAAAATCTCCCAGTTGCCTTTTTAATTAAAACAGAAGAGAAGCCAAGCCTCTCTATACTTAAAAATTGAAGATCGATTACTAAAACTGTATATGCTGACTAGAATAGTAGTTAAGACATGCACTGAGATAAACCCCACTTCTGGTCTTGTGGTAGGCTTACTACAGCCAAATAAAGGGAGGCTCTTGTCTGCATCATGAATTTGTTAGTTTTGGAAGGCAATTTAAACTAATTCTCTGTATTTGGTGATGGAAGGCAGAGAGAGGGCTGTAACAAAACTTTAGCTTAATGGAGGATAGTAGCCTATGTGGGAAAGTCCATGTTGCTGCTCAGTGGTATGTGTTTGGTAGTCCTGTGCAGTACTGATTTGCTTTCTGATGGACTGTTGAAAGCCAGTTAGTTTAGACACTCTGGGTCGCAGGAAGTTGAAACGTCTGAGCTGTTTCACAAAATCATCAAAGCAGTACTTCTAAGCATTTACCAATTTATGGGTTTATCGTTCCTATGAGGAAGGGTTTTGTGTACTCTCATCATTTTGTGTGGATAGCTGAGAGATTAGTGGCCTAATCCTATCTAGATAGTTGGAGTTCTTGAAATTACCATTTTAACTTAACTTTGGCATGAGCATCACAAGGCACTGACATGTTTCTAGACACACTTCTTTTAGAAGAGCTCCTTCTACTGAATGCCTAAAAGGTGGACAGAAGTGGAGTCCTTAAACTAATCACACAGTGTCCTAACTTAGTCATTTCGGCATAAAATTCTTCTGTTAGTTTGACCAGATTTGGAGATTCAGAGTTCTGTCAGAAGCATTTAACAACATAAAAACAAATTAGGTGAAGTTTAATGAAACAGACTGTCCTGCTGATCCATGTAACGTTTCTGTTTTTTCGGAAGTGCTTTGTAAATGCAATGCTTTCCTGTCTTTTTCCTCTATGTGCAAGTGTTCAGAGAAATTTTAAAACGCTGTGTTTAAGTTCTAGACCTTTTTCAAAAAGGGAATGGTTGCACATTCAGGGGTATGTAACTGGAGCCTTCATGGGTAGCTGGTGATCCTGCAGACCACCTTTAGGAAGTATGTAAGTATTTTAGTTGCGAAGTGGCACTTGGAAGTGCCAGGTGCTGTATTTCAGCCATGAAGAAACTTGCATCATCAGTGACATTTAGCGACTGGCTGCTTCACACTTGAGCACAAGGTTTGGAGTGATCCCTAGGAGTGATACGTTCTGAGAGTGGTATGTCCATGTAACAGCTGGGGAGTTCAAGGTACATTAAGAAAATAAATTGGGAAGTTCTTAAAGAAGGCAGGTGCATCAGAAACAAACCCCAATGAATGATTAAAAATAAGTCACTTGAATAGTCACAGCTCCGCCTTCCCTTAGCTTTGTATAATTTCAGTTGTTACTTTCTGATGCTTCCCTATCCTTAACTGACCTTGGGCTAATTGCGTTTGTCAGCACAAGGTTGCCCTTGGTATTTTGTCTCTTCAAATGGCAAAGGCAGCTTTTTCTGAATGGAGACCCATGCGAATGAGATGCAGATACCTAAGGGGAATGCTAATGGAAGATTGTGCTAAAACAGCAGTGAAAGTTAAGTTGTTTCACTGCATTTTGCTCAACTCTTGAAAGTTTGAGTGGTATTTGGTCTGTTCAGAACTTCAGAAACAGAAAAGTGGAGAAATTGAGAAGGAATAGCAAGTAAATAAAGATCCATTATTAGAATAAATAACATAAATAATGCGAGTTACATTTCTAGTGGAATAGAAAAAGCTTTGGTAGTGTTTTGTTTGGTTTTTTTGGTACGTTCAGTTCTTGATTACTTTTTTAAAATGTAATTTCAGAAGGAGAAAATAAGATCACTTAAACGTTTAAGGGAGAGAGCATGGTTTAAAAGCAAAGCAGTTCTGCAATCCTAAGGTATACATTATGATACCAAAGTCTCCACAGCCCCAATGTTGATTAAATTTCTACTGAAATTACAGCAAATTTACACAACCCTAAAGAGATTACACAACTGAGAAACTAGTGGCCAGCCTGTGTTAGCTGTCAGCAAAAGATAAAGGGCAAAATAAGCTGAAATGTGAGGGAATCAAGTCTGTCCTGAATAAATTGCTTTTGACCTGGCTGCTTTACTGGACCTGTATTTTCACATGTATCACTGTATCTGAAGTAGAGCTGGGCAGCTGAGCACTGTCAGACTTAAAGCCACAAGGTAACCCACTGTGTCAATTTATATTAAATAAGTTAGTAAGCTTCTACATTTGAATCAAAGCACAAGAAGATACAGGAGCCTGTCTGTAAACAAGTCCAGTGGCAAGAACTCTGTCATCCTCCTAGCTAAAGGTTTATTATCATCCTTTTATTTGTAGGAAAACTTGACGAACACTTCCACTGTTGGTTAAATTGCCATATACGTAGCGATCAGGAGATGCACTAGAATGTTCAGCGCTGTTAGTTTTTTGTAAAGGCAAGAATTTTCTACTGCTGTTCTCTGTAATAGGGGTACTTTTTGCTTTATTCAGAAAGCCTGAACTTAACTGTAAAGGTGTTATTTGGCTAACTATAGCCAAGTTGCCTTGTCAGATTGCCACCAATTGCCTTCTCTAATGTCCAATTCTACATTTATAATAAATCAGAATGAAACAATCACAGCTTTCCCATAGAAAACAGACAAGGTGAGAAGCAAACTATTTTGTTACATTATTCCCTTTGTGATGAACCACACAAGGAGTTCTGTGGTTTTGTGATATGTAACAGGCTAGGACTTAAAAGCATTCGACTAGTAGGGCAAAATACTGCCTTATTCCAAGCCCCATTGAAGTGGTTATAAGTGAGTTCTGGTAAGAAATGGCTTAACCAACACCACATTTCAAACTTGTCAGTTGATACTAATTCGCCTTTTTTTTTTTTTTTTCCCAAATATGAATGGGAAAGTGTATTTGCATACCTGCTAAGATAAGGCTAAGCTGGTAATACAGATTCATGCTCAAAACAGAAACTTGAGTGCATGAGGCCATTTTGCTTCATTTCCATGCTGCATTTAAGTTACAGTGGTATAACTTGTAGGAATTGTTATATCGCTGTTTTGATTCTCGTTAAGAAAGAAATTTCAGACTTGGGGCCTTTAAAAACTGGAATTGTATTGAGTGATTTCAGGTATTAAGCTTTCTGATATGAATCTTCTAATAATGAACAATTTAATGGAAAGCAGTATAATTTCAGATGACAATACAGCAAGTGGAAGTACTGATCTTGTCAAAGTGCTCAGCCTATTTCTAAAATGAATAAAAAATGTTACTGTAGTTCCTCACAAAATAGAGGTTGTAGAACAAGAACTTGTGCCTTGTCTTGGGCCTAAGTTGGAAGGCCATTCTAAGCTTTGTTTAGAAGAATCAGAGTAAAATACCACAATCACAGAATGGTTTGGGTTGGAAGGGATCTGAAAGCTCATCCAGTTCCAACCCCCCTGCCACGGGCAGGGACACCTTCCACTAGACCAGGTTGCTCAAAGCCCTGTCCAACCTGGCCTTGAACACTGGCCAGGGATGAGACAGCCACAGCTTCTCTGGGCAACCCATTCCAGTGCCTCACCACCCTCACGGGAAAGAATTTCTTCTTGATAGCTAATCTACATCTACACTTCTTTCAGTTTAAAGCCATTCCCCCTCATCCTAGCCCTACATTCCCTTGTCAAAAGTCCCTCTCCAGATTTCTCATAGGCCCCCTTTTGGTACTGGAAGCTGCTCTAAGGTCTCCCTGGAGCCTTCTCTTCAGGCTGAACAAGCCCAACTCTCTCAGCCTGTCTTCATAGCAGAGGTGCTCCAGCCCTCTGGTCATCTTCATGGCCCTCCTCTGCACTCACTCCAACAGGTCCATGTCCTTATGTTGAGGCCCTAAACTGAACAGTACTCCACGTGGGATCTCACCAGTGGAGCAGAGGGGCCAGGATCATCTCCCTTGACCTGTTGGCTGCACTCCTTTGGATGCAGCCCAGCATATAGTTGGCTTTCTGGGCTGCAAGTGCACACTGCCAGATCATGTTGAGCTTTTAATCAACCAACACCTCCAGGTGTCATAAGGATCTGATTCCTTAAAACAACATGAGAAATCATAAGGATATTTATCTATGTCAGGAATATTCTGTAAGAAAGTGAAGGTGTGAACTCTTTAGCATGTTCCATAACCTGTGGAGATTAAGAAATTGATGTATGTATGTCAGTTGCATTGAGAATAACGAGAGACCAAAATTCTTTGCATGTGTAAGCAAGCCTTGACTGTCACTAGATTTATCCCCCCCCCCGTAAGGTTTTTAATCAACCGTCCAGTTACTGAGGGTACTTCTTTCATTGTTGCTCTTTCTGGGGTACACTTGGGGTAAATCTTGTAAGGTTACGGGATTTTCCTAGTTCCTTGAGGGTGTTTTTGCATTTAAGTATCATTTGTGTGTCAGTGCCAGATTTCCACCAGTAGGATAACTACTGCTTGTGTTGATGAGCTTCTGAAGTCTTTCAGAAAGTTTTGCCTGCTTCATCTGCCAGGGGAACAAGGTATGTGACAGTTTAAACTATAAAGTCATTCTGAGAGACAGCATCCAGAAGCTGTTTGTTGAGGTTGCCACATCATCTTACACAGATTTACAAATGTGTTACACTCAATCTGGAGAATTAGCAAGTCTCCAGCCAAGCATGGCATTCATGGTGAGAGGGTTCAGTGAGCTCTGACTCTGTTCCAAAGGCAGCAGGAGAGCATCCCTCATCATGTGAATGAAAGTCTACATCAACATTTCAGCTCATTTTAAAATAAGGGCTGAAGATAAAAATTCTGATACCCCTTTTCTTGGCATGGAGGGGGATCACATGGGATAAGCAGTCTGTCTGGCATCAAGGTGTTCCTGGACCTCGCGAGGCACTGGAACATGTTGCCTAGAGAAGTTGTGGCTGCCCCGTCCCAGGCTGGACAAAGCTTTGAGCCACCTGGTCTAGTGGAAGGTGTCACTGCCTGTGGCAAGGGATTGGAACTGGATGAGCTTTAAGGTCCTTTTGTGAGAAAGTGAAGTACTTCAATGTCCATTGCCTGGAGGAAGGGTGAGAGGAACTGAGATGGGTGGGAAGAGCTGAGATAAGACTCTTTAGGCCATTTTCTCAAGGATTGGTGTATGGAATTGCTTCCCATTATCCCAAGAATTGCTGCAGGCATGTGCAGTTGGAGAGGTGGTCCACCAGGAACATGTAATATGTGACATTAAGAACAGAGATACTCCCCCAACTCATTATAAAAAGGGGAAAAGTTAATCACCAGGTAGGACAACTCCAGAAGGACATCTTCCACAGGGACACCCACCTCTGATGGCTACTACAGGCTCTTGGGTACACTGCTCTGATACTGACTATGGACCCTGGAGGACTCCCGCCACCTCTGACAACAGCCACGGAGCCCAGGGACACCACTGGATCCACGGTGGTGACTACCTCTCTCTCTCTGCATCCTGGATTCTTGCTTCATTTCTGTCTTTTCTCTGATCTGTCCTCTCACTATCCCTTTTTTTATAATAATTTCCTTCTTTATAATAATTGACTTTTGGTAATAAACCAACTGACCAATTATGGTACTTGATGTTTGTGTCTTAATTTCACTTTTGGGATCACGAACGAAATGGGTCCAACACTGGGGTTTTCTTCAGTCAGACAGACCCTGTCACCTTTCCAACCCAAAACATTCTGTGGTTCTATGAAATGTACTATTTACATCAGTGGCAATAGGTACCAGCCTTTTAGATAAGGCTGAAGATTGCAAATTAAGATACAGCACCAGGGGAAGGCCTCATGAACTTGGCACCTCTACTGCTACTTTAATACTTCTTTATAAAGTGGTCATGCATCAGATGGAGATTGCTTGGCCTCAGCAGCCAGAGGTGAGGTGTGGGCCAGGAAGTCATAACGTGTGTGTAATGACTGCTGCAGGGTTATTCTGATACCAAGCAGCAGAGAAAGAGCATGCTTCCAGGAGGTTGTGTAAGGATAGATTTGGTTGTGGCTTTTTTGGCAGCTGGTTCTGTTAAATGACCACAGTGCTTCAGAAAGCTGGCAATAATTATTCAAAGATAGTGGATGTGGATAATGATAATAGGAATTAATTACAAGAGGCAGTTAGCTCTGTGGTAGTACAGATGCTGTTACGTAGTGGATGAAACACTTCCAGTGTTGAGTTGCAAGAGCCAGTTCCAGCAGCAGTTGAATGTAGTTGGTAACCCAAAGGCCAGATAAAAATTAAATTGTATCTCCAAGTAGATGTCACCCTTGGTGATGAAACTGCAAGGGGGGATCAGTGCCACACAGGTTTCAAGTAACTGATGTTAGAACACTTTTTTGGCTCTGTCAAGCCGCTGTCACGTTCACACTTCCATGATTACAGGGGCGTCTTAAAAGATCCAGCATTTCAAAACTATGTGGAAACAGCAGTAACGCTTCTCATCTGATGAATGCTTCAGTGTTAGTGCTGGATTCCCCTTTCTTGGTGGGGTGGTGCTTTAGGTCTCTAGATCCTAAAACATGTTAAGTAGTATGTAAAAAGCAGCCTGCAGCACAAATACTGCGTTCTTACAAAATTGAATGACTGATTCAGTTTATCACTGGTAACAATAGCCTTGTTCTGTATCA